GAAATCTCCCCTTGTCAGCAGCCTCTTTCACCCCACCCACCACGAAACTACACACGAGTTCCTTGACGGTTCCAGAAGTCCAGGACCAGGGCCAGCGCCACAGTGGAAGGGTTAACAGGCTTGCCCTGTAGGCAAGAAGCGGGCTCGCATGCTGCCGCAATGCCCCCTTGTGGGGGCGCTAAGGAGTTGCCATTTGCCAGGATGCACGAGGGACATGTGGGTTAGGATGCAGGCCTGCGGCATTGCGGTTGTGGCCTCGACTGGGGTGGAGGGAGGATGCGTGATCGCATGCCCACTGGTGTGCCGCGTGAAGGGTGCTGGGGAGGGCAAGCCGGGGGTAGCCTGTGGAGGAGGAGGGTGATCGATGTTGCTATTGTAAGACGACTCGACTTCGGCCGAGGCTCGCGAATTCCGTCCACAAAATTGTTGAGGAACCGGAGAATAGAAGAGGCAAGTGGCGGAGAAAGAGGAGCCCGAGGTGGACTTTCCTGGCCCCCCGAGATCCGGGAATGGAGGATTGAAGATCAGGCACCCGAATCCGAATACTGGCGACGGACCTTTAACAGCACATCATTATCGACGTGGGCAGGGGGGGTGGGAGGGGGATCAAGGAACATTATAACAAGGCAGAGGCACAGACAACAGGCCGGATACCAGGTGGGTTGATGTGTAGGTGGTGGGCAGACAAGACCCAGGGTAGGCAGGTCGGTAGGCAGGTAGGCAGGTGCCGACCATCGACGTTGCTACTGCCCGGAACGTGGTAGCGGTGTCTGCATTGCAACGCCGCCGTATTTCGATGGCCTTTGTGTGGCGCACGATTTGCAGGGAGACCCAAGCTGGATGGCGCAGCGGGACAATAGCAAGCAGAGCGTCGAGTAAAGGACAGGCTTTTGAATCTCATCTCGTCCCAAGCTGGCCCGGAGGGCGGTTCCATCTACTTTTAGCACCGTCAGAAGAGTGGCGGTTCGGAAATCAGGAAGACTATCCCACACACTCTCTCTCTTTTCCCTCTTTCTCAATCTGGCAGCAGCAGCTCGGCTGCCTCGCCCACCCTTTTCGAGTCTAGCCACGGAGCTAAGGGCATAGCTCGATCGTCGTCTGCTTACCTAGGTACCTTAGCTTGTAGACATTAGAGTTGGGACCATGTCGCACCTTGGAGAGACACGGCAGACCGGGACGGGCAAGCTGGATGAAGAGCTGGCCAGTACTTGCGGTGTACTTGGGATTGGGCATTGAAGTCATGGATGCAGGTCTACCAAGCCCAAATGGAGGCTTGCGGGCCCACCCGGTTCGCAGCCGCGGACCCTGGAGTCAGTTATGACGGGGTATCTCTGATGTACAAGGTACCTCTACAGGTACTGGGGGAAGCACGTATCCCCCCCCCCGGACTAACAACTGTGGCGCGTTGGGTCGACGCTTGACGCTGGGAAACTGGAACCTGGAAAGCTGGACTCTTGACACCACCTACCTAGCCCGAGGTGCCTTGCCCCAAGCTTACGGACAGGGCCTGCAGAGCGCGGCAGGGGGGTAGCACCACGAAATAGCAGTGTCATCGGTGGCTGCCGGTGGGGTAAATAAAAAAAAAAGAAGAAAAGGCGACAGGCGACAGGCGACAGGCGGCAGTCGACAGGTCACCCACGAACTACCTAATCCGACGCGAATGAAGAGGTAGCCTGGTCGGTTCCTTGACCATTCTACCTTGTGGCATGGCGCCGGTAGTTCTTGCTGGGAAGAAGGGGGTGTGCTGAACGTGAGGCCAAGGCATGCGCGATCCTGATCCCATCTTGGGCTATCGTCATCCCAAACCTCTTGCCTTTGTTCTTCTCTGGTGCTTGCTCTGTGTCTCTTCGGAAAGGCTGCTCTTGCTCCTGCTCCCGCTCAGTATTACCTATAGCTTCTTCCGGCGGCTGACGCTCCTATCTGCCTACTACTTGCGCCCAAGCATCTTGACAACCCCTCCCCCTCCCCCCGGACCCTTCCCTCATTCATCTGGAACATCACCACTTCCCTTGCCCACCCAGCCCGGGCATCGAGACAGGCAGACAATCGACTACCGGAGTGGAGGGCCTGGCTTCGTCTGCTTCAGCTCCAGCTCCGAGCTCTTTAGCTTCCTTTAAGCCCCCACACCGCCAACGCATTACCTCCCGTCCCTCACCTCCTTGACGGCTCGTGGCCTCGTCTGGACTCGTTTGTCCTACGTTCCAGCTCTAAGCTCAGGCGTTTCCGTGTTGATCATCTGCCCCAAACTCTCTTACCTCGCCTTGCCTCGCATCTTGCTCCTTGCGCGCAACCTCGACTTCATCTCCCACCCATCCCCACCGGTCGGTCAGGCCGCACCCGATAATTCGATCTACAGAGTGCGTCTGCCTCTAAGCTTGATCTACCCGAGGGTTGGACTTTTTGATTCCTTTGTGCGCTTACGAATGCACCACTGGTAGAGGGAGATCTCTCGTCTCTTCTCCATTGACCACGCCCAGCGCAACCAACCCCCCCCCGGCTCTTCTACAGTACACCCTCTGCCGTACGGTCGCGTCCTGGACCCCAGAAACGCTAGCGACTGGCACACCATACACGATCATTCCCCGCTGACAATCGGGGCTGAAAGCGCACACATACATATCCGCAACCACAGCACCACACGCGCGCGCGGGCACACGTCCTGTCCACACGTCTCATCACACTCGCGCGCACACACTGAGTCGCTATTGCCTCTGCCCACGCATACGCCTACAGCCAGGCGCGCACATACTCTCATCAGACGGTCAACCAAGCGAACCCGCCGTCCTCATTACCTGCTCATTACGGAAATCGACGAAAGGCGTCAGGCCAGATCCACGGCCTCCCAACCCGCCGGAGCCAGTGCCAGTGCCAGTGCCATCGCGCATTCCGACCCTTCCATGAGTGCTATCTCCAGCCTTTAATTATTCTCCCGATCGTCCACGACAGGGGTTTGCTTGGCTCTTTTCCACCAGCCCACGTTGGTTGCATTGCACGCAACCTCCTGCTTCGTAGCCGTGGGACCAACAGACCCCGGCTGGATCGCACCCGTCCCTCCTCGTCACCCATCGAACCCCCATCAAACCACCTTGGGGCCTGTCACCCTTGGCCTGTCTCCTCCTGGCCCATTGTGTGGCCCAGCCTGGCCGGCCTGCCCTGCCCTCTCTCTCCCCTGGCCCCCATGGGAGAAGTACCCAAAGGCTCTCCGCCCTTACTGTGTGCTACAAGTACCTACTGCCACGATATGAGCAGCTCGTCATTGCTCGATCTTGCCCCTCCACTACCCCGGTCCTTCGTCTAGGGACCCCCTTCCACCCCGTACCTGGCGATTCTCATCCACTCATAATAACGCTCGACACTCTGTCCCACGCGCCCCTCTGGACAGCACTACAGATCCCCGCTACCACTACGACTCACTTACTTACCTACCACCACACCTGCCCTTCCCTGTTGCTTGGTTCAAAGAAAGTCGACAGCCGGAGGACCGACAACTGTGCAACTCACATTTGCCTCTCTTCGCAGCTTGAGACGCGCACCCAATTTTGAAGGAATTACTCCCTCTTTCTTGGACGGACTGCGCGCTCTGTTGCCACGCCTGACGCCACGCCTGTCGCATCGTACGGCACCCATCAGTTCCGGCCCCGAGCAACTACAGCGCATCTGCATGCAACGGAACGCATCTCGCCATACCACCTCGATTGTCAACTCGGGCGACGAATACCGCCCCCTCGTTGCGCTATGTCCAACGAATCTTCGGCGCGGCGCATCTTGCCTCAAAGCTCACAAATGAGCTCCTTTTCCTTTGCGCCACAGCAATACCCTCAAAGGGAAACCCAGAAGAGTGCGTCATCGTTCATTTATCACACAGCGTTGTTCTAACATGCGACTAGACTATGTTTTCGTTGACGAGCACAACCGCCACAAGCGACTGAAAGGTAGGCAACTGATGGGACTGCCGATGTTGGGTTTCCCAACTTACTGTTCATGTTTTACTAACCAGCCATGTCAGTGATGAGAGCTTGTGAAGGCTGCCGGAGAAGGAAGATCAAATGTGATGCTGCTACCACAAACACATGGCCCTGCTCGGCCTGCATCAGGCTGCGTCTTCACTGCGTGCGACCCAACGGACAGTATGACGGAACCTCTGACTCGGGAGCCTATGATTCGTCCCCAACTGCCACCGACTACGCCGACGCAGGTCAGCTGCAAGACAGCTTCCGCCAGATGCCCATGCAACAGCAGCAGACGTCGATGATTGCGAATGCGCCCAAAGCCTGGACCGGCAATGTATGCCACACACGCGGCCCTATCCAGACAACCCCAATGTCTATCAACACGTGCCTTACTCAGACTCTTTCTGCGGCTCCGCAGAATGTGCATTACACGACTATGCCGCCATCCGTTCCTGTGATGGATCAGCAGCAATACGCAGCACAGCATCACTTTCCCAGTCCTCCTCACCATCAGGGCTCCAAACCGCATTCCTCCTCTCCCGGCGCGTACTCTCAAGATGAGTACCAGCAGCAAGACCTGTCAGATTTACTAGGATCATTGAAGATGGACGAGGCAGGATCAGGTCAGCATGCGGCATCCGCACTGGCATTTGTATGCGGCTAACGTTTAGATCAGCACCGTATCTTAGGAACAGGGCAACGTTCAGACAGGAGGAAGAACCCGCTGTCGAGGAGGCCGACGACTACAAGAGCCACCTACCTGCTCTTCTGCCTGCGCCGGGCCTGAAAATCCGCATCCCACCAGAACTTATGCCCGACGACGACACGGCAGAGCACTACACTCGACCTGTACTTTGGCCATGTTCATCCTTATGTTCCCGTGTTGAGTAAGACAATGTTTTACCAGCAATGGAACTCCAACAGGGACGCCATCTCGCCACTCATCCTTGAGGCCATCTTTGCAATCGGCGGACGATTAGCAGATGAGCCGGCCCAAGGTCAACAGTGGCTGGCTTTGGCCAGCAGTGCGTGGTTTCCATCGTAAATCCTTCAATGCCGGGAACTGACAAGCTATAGATCACGCCGACGCATTCATGGATATTCCACGACTGAGCACACTACAGGCGCTGTTGATTATACTAAAAGCAAGGGAAGCCGCGCCGAAGCGAGGCTACTACTACCGATCTTGGATGACGGTTGTGCAGTGCGTTCAGATGGCAAAGGATCTTGGCCTCGACGAGCACTATTCCGACCATCAGACCGGCCGACCTTGCGATTCAAGCCCGATGGAATGCCAGCTGAAGAGCCGAATTTGGCAGACCATTTTCGTGTGTGAAGTCATGGTCGGATCTCCGCAAGGTCTGTTAACGCTCGTGCTATATCCTGAACTGACCAAATTGTTCTCACACATGCTACAGGGAGGACCGATTTGGCGGTCGAACTTGACACGATTGACTTCAGTATACCTCGTCCTATACCCGGGGCTGATGAACTCGAATACAACATCTCTCGCAACTTTACGTATCTCGCCCGGATCGTCAAGAACATTAGTCGAATGAATACAGTTTATGGCCGCCTGCGAAAAACAAAGAAAGATTGGGGGGTTGATCCAGATTTTGTACAGCTCAACCCTTCTCTAAACTCGTGGTTGAACGACCTCCCAGGCGACCTATCGGTGACGTTTCCACCCGATGGATCTGCGCCGTGGCTCTCGTCGCCGTTTATCGGCAATCTACACTCGTACTACTACCTGGCGCAGATTCTGCTGCACCGGCCGCAGCTGGCGTTTTTGGACCCCAACGGCGCAGACGGCCAGTGGAAGCACCACATGATGATTTGCTACAATTCTGCCAAGGCGCTCTGCCGCCTGCAGGAGGCAGTCGTTAATACCTTTGGCTTCACGGGCCTGCAGTGCATGCAGCGCGGGTTTAGCTTCACCATCTACTGCGGCTTGACGTGCATTGTTCTCCACCTGGTGAGTGTACGACAGCGAAATTATCCTGGGACAACGAGCTAATGCTGGCACACTAGGTGGCAATCACGTCTCCGGACCCGGATCTGAACGTTGACGCGCGGGACTACTTTGCGCGTCACATGCGAGTTCTCGAGAGGGTCATGTCGGTTTGGCCCATGGCGGATCTCCAAAAGCCAGTCGACGCTGTTCGAGAAGCATTCTCTGCTGACACCAGGAAACCATTCGTACTGAAGCCGAGCTTCCCATATGGCAGCCCACACTCTTCGAACCAGTCGCCGTCGCCTCACATCAACACGGGATACCGGCCATCGCCGCTGTCTCAGGCGGGTTCGCTTGAACCACGACTTGATACGCAGAACATGCACCAACAGCACTCCCAAGTTAGTTATAGCCACCCCATGACGCCACCCATATCCGCCGGACCTCTGGACACGAGGAGTGACTCGCCTGATGTACAGTCACTCGTAATGATGTCGAGCCAAGGCTCCCAAGCGCCTGGGATGCCACCTACGATGCCCCTTGCGGAAGCGCCGGCCTGGAATCCGCAGAGAATTTTCGAGTATGTGCCCTCTCGTCACCCTTCACTCTGTCACACAAAACACTGACTCTTTGACAAAGACAATGGAATACGTCATTTGGTACGCCTCAAGTCCAGGCACAGTCGACCAGCGTCCCCACCCAGACCAGCGCGCTTAACGTTTCCCCGTCTTCAGGTCAACCCGAAGCCCCATCCATCCAGGATATCCAAGCTGCCACGGCCAGCATGCCTGTCGCTGCACAGCAGATGCCGGCCCAGCAATACTCGGCGGCTCCTGTCCAAACGTTTGTCACGCCAGCCATGTGGCAAGAATCAGTGGCCAGCGTGTACGAAGGCGGTCTCAAGCGCGCGTGGGACTATGAAGGCGGTCCGGTGATGAAGCGGCAGCGCTGAATCGGAACCCTGGAGTCTCTAGTGGCGTCGCTTGTTGGCCACGCCACGGCACACGCGGAACACTTTGCGGACTACATACACACGGGCGTTTATAGTCTTTCACGTTATTTTCTACTTTCATTGCGAAGCAACGGTGTAATAATATGACGAGTGGTGGAAGAGAAAAAACATGTGGGTGGGCTCTTGCATCAGCTAGGGATGTCCAGGCTGCCGTGCCGATGCATTTCGTCAGGCCAATGGAGGCCGCAGGAACTGCATATCGGCGTTGGAGTCTTGTATCGGAAAAGGAGGGTCACAACGGCGCCGTGCTCATCGGGCGCGTGTATTCTTATCAGAGTGGAGAGGAGGGGATGGACGAGCAATGTACGACTAGGACGGCGGCATGTGTGGACGTGATCAAAAAGGCCTCAGGTGAGGGGGGGGGAGGTCGGAGATGATGATCAGACTTTCGCCGATGAATTATGAGTGGGGAGGACAGCCTGCAATATATTGG